AAAATTTTTATGTAACCGATTATAATCATTTTAACAATTCCATTACACCACTACTGTGGGACTTGTTTCCTACTGTGTTCTGTAGGTCTGAAGCATTGTTTCCATAATGCAATTGCATCCGGATTTTCTCTTTCCAGGACATCAAGAAAAGAAGAATCATCGGAAAGGGTGTAGCGATCAAGCTTTTCCTGAAGTTTCTCGCAGTCGCTTTGAAGTTTTTTAACGTATCCAAGTCCTTCAATAATAGCTGCTATGAAATCCGATCCTGGAGCGCTAGTAGATGTAGTATTTGATGTAATCGTTGATATTGTTGAAGAGGTTTGAGGATATTGTTCTAATTTCAAAAGCTTATCGGTGAAGATAATTAAAATTTCAATTTCTTGAATTGTTTTTTGAATTCTGGCTAATATAGAGGATGATTTAAGCATTCCTATGCTTCGCTTCATAAAGTTTTTAAATTTGTTTTTATCTTCATTTCTATTGAGATATTCTAGGCATTTTTTGTAAGTATTTTTGGCACGTCCAAGGGTACTCGTAATTCTGATTATGTGGACATTACTTATTTTATCTTTAAGTTTTTCTAAAACCTCCTTAAGTTGTGCCAAAATTTCTTTCAACTTATCGAGCTCTTCAATGGCTTCTTTATTATTCTCATAATTAGCTTTTATCTTTTGGCCAAATGATATTAATGTTTCAATAATCTTAATGATTTCACTCATTATCATTACTGCAAATAATAAGAAGAAACAAGAAATAAAAATTATTCGTATATACGTAAGTATTCACATCCTATGTACATGCGCACCTGCAACTTTATAAAAACCTAAAGTACAAAGAGCTTTAACCAAATATGTATAGCAAGTGTGGCCGCGAAGATAAATATAAGTGTGTTACAAAAAGCATCATGGTTTGATAGACAATCAATTTGAATAATTGAAACATCTCAATGTTGAAATTATTTCCGTTTCACACATTATTGTATGGTAACATGTATTTCCTTCTATGTCTACAATAGCTAGGTGTAAAATAAGAAGCTTTGTTGTAGATCATGAATTGCTACGTAAACAAATTTCTCGATTGATTTAGTAAGTTGAAGATGTTAATTGGTAAATAAATTATTTTTAACTATATTAACTTTGTCAATATCAGATATACGTAATGAGCTTGTTAAGTAAACATATAATATTACATTTTTCAAACTCTACTAAATCGATATACATGATAAAGTGTGCAACAATTTAATATTAATTTAATTTTTTGAAACCCACATTTTAATTTGACCCTATGATAAAAAAATGTACTGAATCATCTTTTAATACTAAAGTTTTTTTGTATAATATTTCGTATTAAACTATACGGATTTTCCGGCAAATTTCATATAGAAATTTTTTATTAATGATTTAAAAAGTATATATTTTATTAATTTATATATATACTAAGGCCGCTTGAAGTTGAAACTTCGTTTAACGTTATCCCCCCCTCCATCTTCCGGGTTCCCCCCAAAAATTAAACA